AGACTGCAGGGACACTGTAAGGCCCTAACAAGAGGAGAAATAGAAAAATCAGGCATGACTGACCATATATGGAATGTAAAGGAATATGACCACCCTCTGTAGGTTGAAGTTGAAATAACAGAGAGAGAACATCACTGAAAAATACAAAAACCTACGGAATCAGAGAATATGCTGGGCCACAAAAATCTCCCAAGCTGGCCAAGCATAAAAATTAATACAATATGGGAACCAGTATAATATGGGCTGCCAGAGAAAACAATATCAAAAAATTGTAATATGAGCTCTGGTAAAAAATGGTTCCTGAGACATAAAGTCCCATAAATTCGTTCACCAATCTCCCTATGGCCCAGAGGATAAAAGCATTGGATAATTTATCGAAAAGTGACTTGACTCAAAGAGGTGTGAGTCTACTAACTGGAAACAAAAAGAATAGTTATCATGGAAAATTAACCGAAACTAAGATATCCAAAGGCTTGGCATGTGGAATTAGAACAATCTAATCCTGTGGACTAAATAAAGGGTTTGGTTCAAAATTTCAAGAAATTTCACCTGAGGAAGGCCGGAGCATAGAACTGTCAAAACGTTGTGAATATGGCAATAAAGATGAGGAGAACAGTTTGAATAGTGTAAATAGTTACAGAAATATAGACAGATGAATGAAATCAGATATTTAAGGAGTCAATGCAAGAAAACTTGCAATTCAGCCAAAAAAAGTTGCCAGATATATAGGATGTCTCAAAAATGTTTACATATGAAGATTTCTCAAGAAATAATTCAAGTAACTTGAACCAACAAAATCTAATTTAAATAATGCATAGATAGAGAGTATTTATTATAGATGTTTTCTCTTAAGATTTTGTCATCACATGTTTTCAACTTGATGTACATTATCATCCAGACAAGCAGAAATCAACATTTCGATAGGTATTTGGCTGCATTAATGCTCTATAGAAACTTTAATTTCAGCAATTATTGCCAGCTTTGCAATCTAGACCTTATCTTTTAGGAGTAGATAGGATTGCCTATCACCCATTTCACACTCCTCTGTGGTCTTTTGAATTAAGTTTATCTTTTTTTTCCTGTTTAGGATTGGGTTTCCAGTTCCTTCTAAAGTCTTCTTCAACTCTATACTTGTAATGTCATTGCCTGAACTCTGAAATGTAATTTACCAAATAAATCTTGGCCTCTTCATGTCTAGAATCAGTTGTCTGTCTTTCCTGTTATGTTGCCCTTTCTTATGCTAATAAAACTCCACACAGTAACCCTCTACCTTGAGTGGCCCTTGGGCCTTGTGTTGGGTGAGCATTAGTAAAACAAAAAAAAGTATCCCCACAAGAAAAAAAGTTGATTATAACCCCATAAAAAACACAATATGCCTGAGCAAGCATTTGCAACAGATTGACCACCCAAGCAGATGGGAGTACTCAGATTGGTGTACTCAGAAACAAATTGCCAGCCATTATATACAGGGTGTGACAGGAAAATTGTCCCCATTTTATACTTTTAATATTGCACACATTTATTGTTTGTTTTGGATTTTGTTGACTGCACAGTATAGTATGGTCAGTTGGACATAATCTGTGAGAAAAAGAACACCATGACACAATTCACTCTGCCAGAAATTTGGAAACAATGATGGAAAAGTTATGCCTCCATTCATCTTCCCTATGTGCCTCAGACTCAATATGGAGGCTTACATCAAGTGTCGTGAGGAGGTTGTGCTGTCTTGGGTTAAGAGGTTGGCTGCTGGAAGAACATGTGTCTGGCAACATGAAGCTGCACCATGCTACACAAGCAGGAGAACCAAATCATGACTATCAGACAATTTCTTCAACCACATTACCTCTCACATCTGGCCACCTAATTCCCTCAGACTGCAACCTCCTTGATTATCATGTGTAGGGCACAATTGAGCGAGAGATTAACAAAACTCCTTATGACACCATGAACTGAAGGCAAGGATTATGGCCACATTCACCAACTTAAACAATGGGACTATCCAGAAGAGTTGCAGGAGATTCCAAAGTCATCTGGAGGATGTAGTTGAAGACAATGGTAATTTTTTTATTGAATAAATTTACTCTTTAGTATTTCAAGATATTTTTGTGTAATTTTAGAAAATATGTCTGTTAAAATGAGATGTCAGTGTTATTTTCATTATTACATAATTTAGATGACAATTTATCCATCACACTCTGAATATATATATATATATAGATAATTAGGAGGATTTGAAATAATCATAATTAAGTAATTCATCAAGTCTAGAAGAAACCTCAACAGAATGCAGAAAGCAATGGATGGCCATTTCGTCCTATATTTGGGACTCATCAACAGTGTGCATCCACTACCGAGAATTGAAACCCAAACAGTTACAATAGGAGGCAAACGACATACCAAAGGGCTTTCCAATTCCTGGATTTTAAAATTGAAATCTCATCTAACCTTAAAGTAGTTAATTTCTTAGATATCACATTCAACTTCTCTAACAACACATTTAAGCCATTTAAGCCATTTTGCAATGAATATCAAACTCCTATTTATATTAATGTCAACTCCAATCAACCAAACTCAATAATTCAACAAATCCCTAACACTGTAAACATCAGAATTAATAGATTATTGTCTAACAAAAAATCTTCAATGAGAATAAAATAACTTATCACAAAGCCCCCAATAAGAGTAATTTCAAATAAAAATTGGTTTACCAGGAGTCTTTGAAAAACAATAAAACTAAGAGAACCAAAAACAGAAAAAGAAGGACAATAACTTTCTGTAAACTGTCTAATGTAAATATTGACAGATATTTTCTAAACCTAATCAACAAACATTTTAATCGCAATAACCCTCGACAAAAATTTTCCATAGAAAAACTCTAAAAATTAGTTATTCCTGCACTAACAACATACATAATATTATTGACTCACACAACAACCAAAATTAAAAATATTTTATGACTGCAACACACCAGAAAACAATCCCTCTTGTAATTGTAGAACCAGAAACACCTGCCCAGTTGGAAGTATCTGTAATTCAGAAAATGTATACCAAGCTATGATATTTTTGAAAGAAAATATTAATGATAAAAAAAGCATACATAGGGATATATACTGGGAGTTGGAAATAGAGACTCTACAATCACCAGCATTTCTTCTCCAATACTTCTTTAAGACACCAAATTGCTCTAAGTATTATTGGAAACTTAAAGATAGAGGCTTCACCCCACAAATCAAATGGGATAACATCTGTCAGTCTCAGACTCCTGACAACTTAAAAATGCTGACCAATTATTAAATCAAAGAAATGAATTAATTTTCCAGTGTAGATATAAGAGCAACTTTAAAATTCCCTAAAAACATTGACTTTGGGGGATATACACTTGAAGTGTTGATTCTTTTTTATATGGGATTGTCTTGCCTACATCATTTATAATTTTAAATTATCAATTAATTTATATTTTTATATTTTATTATTATTAAGTGTATTATCTTTATTATCTTTATCCTTATCTATTTTTATATTCTAAATTTGTTCTTTATAATTATCTCTTGATTTATTTATTTATTTACTTTATTTTATTTTATAATATTTTATTTATTTTATTTTATTTATGTTGGATATTATTATTATTATTTGTTTAAAATTGTGATGATTATTATTATGTGATGATGAAAATTGCTGTCTAAAATGACATGACTCTATTCGACATTTTGCTGTAACTTTTTTAATTTTGATCACCCTCTCCCTTACCCGGGATATTAACTTGTTCAGCCCTTTAAGGAATTTTTTTTTCTAGGTCACTCTATTCTATTTTTGTTATTGGTTCATCATTTATTTCTTCCTTTTCTCCTTTCTTTTCTTTCACACTCTCCCTCTCTTCCTCATCCTCTCTTTTCTTCCTCTCTCTCTCTCTATCTCTCTCTCTTACCTTAATTTTAAAAAAAAATTTATATCTGAAATCTTTATTTTTCTTTCTTTTTTTAAAATTTTTTTCTTTTCCTTTTTCTTTTTTTCTTTCCCCATTTTTTCTATCTGTCTTGATGGATTGATTCCATTTCTAAAAAACTTTCAGTCTGAAGAGATGCATATAAAAATATTCATGAAATAAATTATAACCGATATGGATTTTTAAGGTTTTCCTTGATTTTTATATTTTATACACACACATATATATATATATATATATATATATATATATATATATATATATATATATTTCATTATATATATATATATATATGTTTCATTAAAATGACTGATATGGTACTGTGGTTAGTTAGGTCTTTTATTTAATTTTTTCTTGTGTGCTTATAAATTTCGATCTTGTCAGTCATTGTTAATGAAACTTGTATAAAACACGTTTTGCTGCCCAAATACACAATTATATATATATATATATATATATATATATATATATATATATATATATATATATACACAGACACAGTGTCTAAAAAATATATACACATTTAGAAGCTTTCCTAAGAAATAATTCAAGCAACCAGAACCAACTATATCTAATTTAAATAATGCATATGAAGACAGTATTTATTATAAATGCATGCTCTTGAGATTTTGTCAATCGCATGATTTCAAATTGATGTCCGTTATGATGCAGACATTGTTGACAATGTCACACAGTAGAATCACAAGCAGCAATCAATATTTCAGTAGGTTTCTTAGACTTCTGTGAAAACTTCCCATCACCCTTCCTTGCTTCACAGAGCATGCCTGATATCCAAGGTCTTCTGGAAACAAAAAGGATGATTATACACAGGGTGTCCTAAAATTTTTTAGATTGCAAGAATTCTTGGCAGGGAGGGATAATAACAGTTTAATGATACAAGTCTTATTATTTAACCCATAGTGGGAGTAGAGGAGAAGAGATGGATTCATACGTAAGTAAATATGATGAACCCAACAAGATTTTGAACCCTGCTATCCGATTAACACTTCTGAGCCGTTATCCATTACATCATCCGCACTTAAAAACTTATGGAACCTGGTTTTCATAAGCGGTCACCCATCTTCGTACTGACCAGGCTCAACATTGCTTAACTTCAGTGATTGTATGGGAAGTGGTGTTTCAACAAGATGCGGCCGTAATTTAAATAATGCTTATGAAGACAGTGTTTATTGTAAATGCATGCTCTTAAGATTTTGTCAATCACATGTTTTCAAATTGATGTCCGTTATGATTCAGACTTTCCTGACAATGTGATGCAATGGAATCACAAGAAGCAATCAACATTTCAAGAGGTATTTGGCTGCGTTCTTGCTCTGTGGAAACTTTCATTTCAGTGATTGTTGCTGGCTTTGTAGCATAGACTTTATCATTTGAAGTACCCCCACAAGAAAAAGTCTTAATGGTGTGAGGTCCAGTGAACAAGGAGGATATTCTACAGAACCTCATCTTCTAAGCCTTCTGTTTGGCAAGATTTCATTCAGGTATGATTATACATCATGTCAGAAGTGTGGCAGTAGGCCATCTTTAAATAAAATTCTTCATCTTCCAAAACTTCTAATTCTTGGCATTGCAGACTGTTGCAGGGTTAGGGTTAGGGTGTGTACATTTCTTGAGGCACTCTGTAGTAATAAAACAAAACGAAGGAAACTTAAAATAAAATTCTTGTTTTCGTTTTCATCATGGAGATTATTTTTGTGACAATAGTAAATAACAAACAAAACATTTCCATAAAATTCCTTAATTGGAAAAATGACACGTCTGTTTGAAAAGGTAATATTTTAAATTCAAAATTAAGCACTCAAGGCTAATACCATTTTTTTTGTTTTGTTTTCTTTGTGATTATCATTTCTTTAAGAAATATTCTAAGAGGTGTAGAATTTTGATTATATAAAGTTTTATCTTAAAGTTTCTTTAATGCCTATATAAACAAAAGAAAATAGAGAATTCTAAGAATTTTCCCCGTTAACAGAGAGAAAAAAAAGAAAGAAAATAATTACCTTTGAAGGTGATAAATGAACTCAGGGTAGTTCAAGCTAACAAAAGACAATGGTTTATGTCAGTAAATAATCCATGCAAGAACATACAATTCCTTAAACTCAAAAAGATTGATAGATATAGATATAACAACTCAATAAACAAAGCAAATATGGAAAATCAAAGAGACAGAAAATCAAAGAAATAAATGTAAAACAAATATTCTTCTTCTTTTATGTGCTATGGCCCTTGAGGACACAAGCGATGATAGCCCTCCACATCTTCTTGTTATTTGTAGCTCTTAATAAGTTTTGTCTTTTTGTTATCTCTCCCAAACCCTGCTCATCAAGTACGTTACATGCTGCTTTCCTCGGTCTCTCTTTCCCTCAGTCTGTCCTGTGAGAATCAGATTTTGCAAGCCTTCTTTCCTCATTATGCATCCGAGAAATTTCAACTGCCTCTTCCTGATGTTAAGTGTAGGTTTCCTTTTTGTTTCAATTTTCTCCAAATGTTGCTCACATGTTTAGTCTGTGGTATCCTCAGCATCTTTCTGTAGAACCACATTTCTTTTGCTTCAGGTGTCTTTTATCTTTGAGAAAATCATCCACCTTTTGCTGCCATACAGGAGGACAGACATCTCATATTAACAGACTATGAGAAATACACGTGCAAACAATTATAGACAGAAATCTAGATAATTAGTTACGTGTAGTAAGATTGTAGTAAGGATGTGAAAGGATGTAAGATTGAGGTAATAGTTAGTGGCTCAGCAATGAGAATTGGCAATCAGCAGTTTGAGTTCAAATTCAGATCAAAGATAATATTTTCTCTTTGCCCTAATATTGTGAGGAAGGCATGAATCCATTACTTCTTTCCAACTATAGATAAACTCATAGGGTAGACTGTCTCTCATTAGCTTTAATAGGGTTACCTGTCCCAGAGAAGGAGAACTTTCACTCTTGTTGCTAATAGTTATTTCTTTTTTTGTTCTTCCTAAGCGCATGAGATGGAGTAGGGAGGGCCTAACATCAGGAAAAGGCAGTTGAAATTTCTGGGCACATAATGAGGAAGGAGGGTTTGGAAAATCTGATACTCACAGGAAAAATTGAAGGCAAGAGAGACAACACATGAGATATGTGGATGAATAACAGTACAGTGTTTAGGGGAGAAAAAAAAACAAAAAGACAAAACAAAAGAGCTACTGAAGACTGAAAATTGTAGAGAGCTTTGATCGACTAAGTACTGAGGGGACATGGCTAAAAAGAGAAAAGAAAAGAGAAAAAAGACAGTTCCCTAAAGTTGACTGAAGTCACACAAATGCAAGATACTTCAGTAGCAACAATGGCTGTGTCTTTTCTAAATACATGGATTTCCCATTTTGGACTCCTTGTCCTGGGTATGGTAATAAACTACATCTGCATCTTGCGTAAGACGATAAACTATGTCCAACAGCAAGGCCTCTGATCAAGAGGTTTTGAGGAGTGTGGAACCACCTCTTAATTGCTGGTATTCCCAGGTCCACCCTGACCTGGGGTGGTAGCACCTGTTAGGGTTCCAGCTATGGACAAATAGTTAACACCCAAACTTGTGTAAAAATAGGTTTTAATACTAGAAATACTTTATAAAAAAAAAATTGCCAACAACAATTTTTGAAGGAAAAATTATTATTGGCAATACTTTAAAAAAAAATACCAGAATAACAAAAAGCTTTATATTTTAAAAAAAATTACCAGCTATAGATTTCTTGGAGGAAAAATATTCTCAGAAATAGATTTTTGAAGAAAAAAATATTCCCAGCAATAAAAATTTTTGTCTGTGTTAAATAACCCATTGAAGTTGATATGCCATAAAACAAAAGAAACCAAACCTAAAAATCTTGTTGGCATTGAATAACCTGTTGAGGTTCATATGCTGTAAAACAAAAGAAATCAAATCTAAAAATCTTCTTGGCATTGAATAAGCCATTGACGTTGATATGCCATAAAACAAAAGAAACCAAACCTAAAAATCTTGATGGCATTGAATAACCTGTTGAGGTTGATATGCCGTAAAACAACAGAAACCAAACCAAACCAAACCATTTTGGACTTCTTCATGTTTTCACTGACAAACAACTCCACAAAAAAAATAACTCTGTTCAAAAGTGAACACATCAGTGAATTGTCGAATGCAATGGATTTTCATAGAAAGGCAACACAGGATAATTAACACTTTCTTAATGGCAAGAAAACAACTTTTTTATACTAATATATAATAGCCAATCAACATAGAGGTCTAGTGAATAAGATTGTTGTAAGGGTTTAAAAGGCATGAAGTAAGTGAATGAGGATATGTAGGATACTGTTATATTCTGTTTTAATAGGAATATATACTTGAAAAACACAGTGGATAAAATAAGTAAAGGGTTACCGTAAAAACCAGTACAATAAGAAATAAGATAACAGTTATGCACATGATCGCCGCAAGTCAATCCAATAGTGAGTGCTACTATTAGAAGGTCGGTAGTTCTTGTGTAAATCTGAGTCGTACTCAACAGATCCCAACTAGACTCTATAGTCCATTGACTTACAGATACTTATAGGTAGTTACTACCTATAGCTGTAGAAAAAAATGAATGAAGTGGACAAAAAAAAATCAAGTGCCGCATTCATCAGCAGACTGACTCTCCTTCTTCTTTCTCACTCACCTCAAGGAAATAGATTATGGGGTTCTATTTCTTCGCCACGACACTGGGCACTTTTCAGTTGACAAAGTCAGTCATGTCTCTTTCACCTTCTTTTTTCCTGTCAATCCACTCGTCAGACTAGCAAATGTAATCCACCCAAAAAGAAATCATCCCCATCACTCTTATCATCTCGCTTTTTATGTTTCCTCAAACAGGCCAGAATTTGCATATGCGTAAATCCTGTCTCATAGAGATGAGACAAGCACTCACAAATTGTGCCCCCAATAGTGGCCATATTTTCTTTTCAGCACTTTGCACACAAAACACATCCTTACTCATTTCGATCTCTGGGGTAAATCATTTCTTTCATCACAACACCTATTACTACTACAATAGTGTAGTCACTCATTGGGGTGACAGGTTATTCCATTACATCAGATACATAATGGTTGACCCTAGACTTAAAGAGGTTAAGATTATAGTCATCAGGGAAGCATACTTTCAGGAATCTGTTCCACAATGTAACAGTTAAGGTTTAGCAAATCCAAGGCCTAAAAGCCACTCAAGGTAGAGGGTTAATGATATTGTTATAAGGACATAAAAGTAAGAAACTGTGAGAATTTCTTCTCACACAGTTTAACCATTGGTAGAGACATGAAAAGACATACAATTAACAAAGCCTACCTTAAAATTTAAAACAAATTTTATTGCATCCTTGCAAAAAAAGATTATGCCTTTTTTGCCACTGTGAACAGGGTGGGGTAGTTTCTTCAAAGAAGAGGTAGTGACTTTTCCCTTCTGTAGGACTCAATTGGTCTCTACGAAGTTGGTGAAGCAGGAACTTGCTGGTCATTGCAGGAGCATTACCATTTCGGTTGCTGAAGTTGAAACTCGGCTATTGTCGAGATCATGTAGAAAGTTCTTTGTGTTGAAAGTAAACATCAGACGACATTCAATAAACTGACTGAATTATACAGCCTTGAATGTATTGAATAAGCTGGAACATGACATCGTCGCAGGAGCAATTACCATTTTGGTTGCTGAAGAAGAATCATAGCCTAGTGATTTAGGCTTCATTTTGGGCGCAAAAGGCCCTGCAAAGAGATTCAAATATGAGTCCTGACTTTTCCACGAATTTGCTGCAACTGATAAAAAGGGCACTGGCCGTTAAAAATGCCCGCGAAAAGCAAAGTCAAATTCAACCAATGAGATTGGTCATTACAAAATACTGTGTGCCATAAATTAGCCAATAGGAGCTTAAATTGCAGAATTTCTCACAAAACAAAAGTACATATTATGAGGGTATATAGGATGGATAATAGCTATTCCTAGTCTTGAGGAGTTTAAGATTGTAGTGATCAGTGAAGCATATGTTCAGGAATATATTCCATAATATTTATGAAGAAGACATTTTCTCTATCACCTTAGAAAAAGCATTAGAAGACTAATAGGTCGGTAGTTAGAATGTTCTTAAAAACAGGAATTACAGACAAGGAT